ATTTTGGCAATGGAATAATAAAGTTAGGCACGTTTGAAAATTAAGGTCATAATTTAAAATCAAATAATCATTATAATTAATAAACTGACCGGCAAAAAAAACTGGCCACTATAAATTTGCCACAACTTCAAAGCTGGCTTTCTCTCGAACCGCGCATTCGATGCGTGCTAGGTAGCGTATGTCAGTTGTTTCGAATAGTAAATTGACAGTTGTCAAAGATGCCGTTGTCAATAACTGATGTTGCGCGTATTATTGGTTTAATTGAAGATGGCAAAAGTCAGCGGTACGTTGCCCATACGTTGGGTATACCCCGAACAACAGTTCAGGATGCCTGGAACCGATATGTGGAAACAGGAAATTTTACTAGGCGGCAAGGTTCCGGTAGAAGACGAGTGACAACAGCAGTTGATGATCGATTTATTGTGCTAAACACTCTGAGGAATCGTAGAACGACTGCTGTAGAAACTCGGCATCGTCTTCAAATGGTGCGTGGGGTTGACATAAGTGAAAGAACCATTCGTCGAAGACTTGCTGAAAGTGATCTAACTGCAAGAAGACCTGCCAAAAGACATCGGCGAGCACGTCTTCAATTTGGGCGCCTACATACGAATTGGGAAATGGAACAATGGGGTAAGGTGCTCTTCACTGACGAGTCCCGATTTTGTCTCCGGTCACCTGATGGTCGAGAACGAGTGTGGAGACGTCGTAATGAAAGGTTTGCGACCTGCACAATTTCGGAAAGAGTACCTTTCCATGGAGGTTCGGTCATGGTATGGGCGGGTATTTCGACGGAAGCGCATACAGCGCTCATCTTTGTTGAAAATGGCACGCTAAATGCCCACCGTTATATCCAAGATATTCTGCAAGAAGCTGTCGTGCCCTATTCCCATTTTATTGGTGACGGATTCATGCTAATGCATGACAATGCGCGACCGCACGTAGCACGTGTGGTTAGCGAATATCTTGATGAGGTGGGTATTGAACGGATGGAGTGGCCAGCGTGTAGCCCGGACCTTAACCCTATCGAACATCTTTGGGACCAACTTCAGAGACGCATTCGTCGTCGTCCTGTCCTACCGGACAACCTTCAGGAGTTACGAATTGCTCTTGAAGAAGAGTTTACCGCAATTCCTCAGGAATCAATTACGAACCTAATCAGTTCGATGCCGCGTCGACTACATGACGCTATTTTGGCTTTTGGGGGCACACACGCTATTAATTTTCGTTATTATTAATTATTACATTAAATTAAATTTGTTTTCTTGTTTATTTGTCTTTGTTTTTACCGCATATTAAAACTGAGAACAGATGTAAGTGCTTCTGCAAAACTGTTTCGGGTGTCCAGTTGTAGTTTTCAAGGCTAGTGATTTAAGGCACCACTTTTAACAATGATTAAAAATCTGTATAGGCCTTGTTTGGAAATTCCCGATCACACCATCACAGAACCACCATCGAAACTTTCGCGTTTCATAATCGTATAGTCCACAAATCTTTCATTTCAACGTCTTCATATTCGCTCCTGACTATCGGGTGATAGTAGACAAAACCACTACTCATCCGTAAAAAGGACCTCCATTGCACTACTCCTTCCTCCATTGCTCGATCTCCTAATTCACATGTAAGCGCGCAGATTGAAGACGCGCACGTCGATATCTAGGAAGCAGCCTCGGCCCTTTGGCAGCCTTCTTGCAGCCAGACCAGTTCTAGCAAGTTTTCAGCAAATGGTTCTCTCACTGATATCAACAACACGCACCATTTGAAGACGATGCCGAGCCTCTGCAGCTGTCGTTCTATGATTGCTTAGAACAATAAAACGGTCATCAGCTCATCTTGATTTCACAGGCGATCGCTTTAAAATACTGCATCTTCGTTAGTAACAGAGATAATAGAGTGAATAAAAAAAGAAACTGCTCAGAAAAGATTGGGCTACTGTTTGATTCCAGGTAATACCCTCTGCTGTAGCAGCTGCACCCCACAGGGTGTTACAAATTTCGAGAATAAAAGTTTTTCTCATTTTTCTCACCCCGTATATGCTCAAATTAAAATCTGAACGAAAATTTCTATGGCAGGATTATTACAGAAGAATCAACCTTTCCATCAAAAAAAAAAGAAAGCCAGCTTTGAAGTTGTGGTAAATTTATAGTGGCCGGTTTTTTTTGCCGGTCAGTTTATATTGTTTTGTATTAATTGAAAATAAATCTGATCAAATACGAGAAATTTTACATATTAATGCTACATGTTAAATCCTGAAGATGGTTGAGACCGAAACTAGTCAAAATCTTTTGTGCCATTTTAATACTCTTATTATTTCTGGATTATTTTTAGTTCAATGTAAACAATTTCTATATAAAACATAAGAAAAAAGTGAAAATATTTTTTGTAAGTGCTTATTCATTAAAGAGTTAAGTGTTCCAAAAAAGGGAAATTAAAATTGTTGAATTCTGTAGTAGCTAATCGTATAAAATCAACACAGTGAAGCAGAAGAAAGGGATCGTCGTCGACGCCTTTTGTGAGAATTAATTAAGGTTTTATCCTGAAATTAAGGGAAGCTTTTTAATTAGTTATTATTTCGAGTATAGATAACAATACGGAACGTTTTGCGAAAAAAAAAGGGGGACCATTGATTATGCAAAAAAGCTGACACGTTAACGCCGTTCGGTGATTGATAATCTAAACGGCGTAGCCTGATTGATTGAAATTTTCAAATAGTGTGAAGTTGGCAGTTCGCGCGACGCCGAGGAAAGTTCTTATCGTCGTCACACCCTAATAATTCGCATCATTTTAAACACGACGCAAACCGTTGCGACGCTTCGTAACGTTCGCTCCACCCAAAACATCCTGAAAATTAATTAATGCGATTTTTTTTCAGCGACAGGTAAATTGAGATAAAAGCTTGAAACACTGAATTATAATAGAAAAGTTTGGGCCGCACGAACTTTCTGAACACAATTAGGAAAATTCTTAACTGCATTACGAGTTTAATGGGTAAAAATGTTAAATATTGCAGACGTTTATTTATTTATCATCATTCTTTCTCAAATGCTCTTTAAAACTTAAAATGATAAATAAAAATAGCGTATTTAGGTTCATTTTGGTACCAATGAGTAACTTGACAAATGAGAAACATTAGCCTCTGCACCTAGACAAGTTTATAACCTCTGTAGCCAAAGACCTATGACCTCATCCTCCAGGAAACCCTTCACTATCTCATACTGGCCGCAAACTTAAATGATGACCATCGTGGTCTGGGCCGTTCACCAGTTTAATTCGGTTAACTCCGAACGGGAGCCGCTTAAAAGTTTTATTTATCATTAGGTTTTTGGGGTTGTCCACGAGCGAGAAACCGGACCTTTTGTTGCCAGCGTGTCCGGGAGGATGTGAAAAGCGCGCAACTGTAATAAAATAGTCATGATATAATGGTGATGGCGTCGGAAAAACTCGCGAACGCCGGCCCTATTTAAACGGGTTAAATGGACCTGAATTCGCGACAACGTCCCCTTGAAAGGTCTCCGCGATGCGCATAAAACCGGATTAATGAATGCCCAGATATTTCATTACTCTAGATTAATTAAAACTATGATCTATGACGACGGAAGTTTTCCTTTGATTTTTATTTGCACACATATGAGAAGTGAACATTTTTCATGTTTTTTATTTATTCATTCGTTACATCATTTAGCTTAATTCAAGTCTGGTTTTTATTCGAGGACGACCTTGGAGTTGTATAGCCTCGCTTTCGACCGAGGCTATACTTTGGTTGCAATTTCATTCTCACCTTGTTATAGATGATATATAAATAACAATTAAAATAATGACAGGATTAAAATCTTTAGAGAAGAAGTCGTGCAGATCTAACCGGTAGAAAATCGTATTATGCAAAACTTATGTTGTGACATGAATTAGTCGCGGTTCTTTTTTGCGACGACGTGAAGGCGCCAGCTCCTTAATTAGTGAGACGCCAAAGGAAAAAGCTGGCTAATCGCGTAAGATTCCTGGGCGTATTTATGACGGGCAGATGTAGACGATAACGCGTATTGATCCGTTGGAACAATTTTTAACGCCTGTACCAATTATAATACATTATGACGTGCATTTAGCTTTCCGTTTGAAACACGCCGAACATACGTTTTTGTCATCCCACCCCGCCTAGTTCGGCGACAACTTCCAATTTCGGCGTTGCTTTTGACAACAAAGCCCGGCCAAAGTGCATTTTGCCAGCAATTATTGTCCTCCATCGCGAACCGTAATTTTGCGCGAAATGGCGTCGTCGTCCACCCCCTCGATCTTCTAGGATGGGGGTTTCCCCTCCCTTCTACACCCTTCGTGCTAATGATTTCATAAAGGATACCCAGCTTAATACACCGACTCTACTCGATTAATAAAGGTTACGAGAAATATTGTTTGATCGCTAATCGACCTACCACCCGTTTTCAGTAATCACCGACCCTTGCCTTTCCAAACGTTGGCTGCTCTGCCAACTCTATTCAACCAGGACTTATAAGAATATCTCCTTTATTACACTCCGTAATCCTACAATTTTGCTACAAGAAGCCTTACTTTAGTTTTAAATCGAATTATATTTAGATCATACCTAAACCAATTATTTACATAATCGATAAACTTTATTGTCTCTTTCCTCAGCTAAATGTAGGGGGTTGAAAATATCCCGAGACGTGTCACTGGATTTTCGAGACGGTTGGTGATAGAAATATCGTTCATATCGCGGACGAGAAGGGTATTGTGACATGTGCGGTCCCACGGAAACATTGAGTAAGTGGCAGGATGTATGCTTTTAGAGGGGCATCAAAAAGGAGGAAATGAATTAAAAATATCGCCCGCCCGGAAAAGATGAAAAGATATTTTCCGGCACCATTTTTCTCCGACGATTGGGCGCGGGTCTTTTATAATATTTAAAAAGGTTTCTGGAATAGGCGTCGCCCTCCCGGTACGAGGAATGAAATAATATTTTGACGGTTCCGTAGGATTTCGCCAGGACTTACCTTCGATAAATTGTTGCTTCGGCTTATGAGCTGAATCTAGAAAAGAAAAAAATCGGTGTAAAAAAATTATTTGTATATCTAACTCATTCATTTTACGCAATCTCTGCGATAATGTCATGCATTTTTCTTTGTAGTGTATAATCAATAACCAGAAAAAAATATGGGGATAAATAAAATGAAATGAAATATACTAAAAAAATGTATGGGATATTATTTTGTCATTCCTATAAATCCTTTGCGGAATTAATAGATCAAAATAAGTGGACATTCAAGGGGTATTCTAACTGTCACTAGAACTTTGATAAATGGCTTATACCGAGCCGGCGGTGTTGTGAATAATTATTTCACCATTTGATAATAAAGACAGCGCTCTAGATTTGTGACCATAATACACGTACGATTTACCCTCAAATTTACCCACTCATAAGGGCGGAGATATTCTTTTACAAGCATAAATATCCAGGTAACCGGCGCAACTACATTTGTCTCAGTAAATCGACTAAAATCGATTCGTCACCCGAAGGGGACGAGTATAAAAATCTTTACAACGATCTGGGGAAGTTCCATTTACCGTTTCCTTGCTCCACAGGAGAAATGTAGCTGCATTTCTTCTCTGCAAAGCTACATGCTTCGAATAATATTTCGGATAGACACCGCAATAATTCGATATTTCAACTCCAACCTTATCTCGTAATTATATTACCTCACACATTTCCAATTCTTTATTCTCTTATATTCACTATATACAGGGTGTCCCAGACCACCCGTATCAGCCAATTTATTCGGAAACGGTGAGTCCTAGAGAGTTGAAATAAAAAATTCGTCAACTAAAGCAGACACCCTCCTTCTAGATAGTGTGTTACGACCGACCAACAACATCCGGAAGTGGGTGCAATTGAGTAGTACTTTAATATTTTATATGTAAAGAGGGGTCAATTACGATATCATCGTAAAGAACTCTTCAATAGAAATCTCTTTCGCTTGAAAAAAATTTTTATATTGCTAATCGTTTTCGAAATAATAAACCCTAATTGTTGGTACTTTTTACCGGTGTTATTTAAGTTGACAAATAGATGTCGCTATTCGTCGTTTTGAAAAATCGTGTAATTTAGAAATGGCTGGTTAATAACAAGAAATTGTTTTTACTAACAAAATGAATAAAATAACAAGGAGTTTTTTTTACCACAGAAGAATATTACAAAACACTAAATAATAAAACTTAATAAATTAAAGTAAAAATACCAGTTCTTATTAAACAAATGAATAAAATAACTATGGAAAGGAATTATTTGGACGACAAAACGACACAAAACGCTCAATCTAATAAAAAATTAACAAAATCAAGATAATAAAGATTATAAATGTTCAAATTGTCTACCATTTTGAGCAACACATTTTTCAAGCCGGAGCCTTACACTATCTACCGCATTTAAAATTTCTCTTGCACTTAAATTCTGACACGCTTCTTGAATTCTGTTCTTCATTTCTTCCTTTGTTGTTGGTCGATGTTTATAAACTAAATTCTTAAGTCGACCCCAAAGATAGAAATCAAGAGGGGTCAAATCGGGTGATCGTGCTGGCCACGCCACACAACCTCCTCTTCCAATCCATCGCCCAGGGAATTTTTGGTCACAAATCGCACGAGATACCGCAGCATAATGTGCTGGGCAGCCATCTTGTTGTAGCCACAATCTCCTCCTTATTGCTAGTGGAATGTCACCCAACAAATCATGCTGCAATGTGCCAGCAAGAAATTCCGCATACCTGCGACCATTGAGAGTGCCATCAAAATAAAAGGGCCCAATTATGGTGTCGCCCAAAATCCCGCACCACACATTTAGAGACCACAGATTTTGATTGTTCATTTCAACCATCCAATGGGGGTTAACTTCTGACCAGTAGTGGGCATTGTGCAGGTTTAACTGCCCATTACTTTTAAATGTCGCTTCATCTGTCCAAAGGATATTCCGATGAAAAAATTGAGTTTGGCCTAATAACCAATTACAAAATTGTAATCGGTTATTAAAATCTTGATCTCTTAATTCTTGGCAAAGATTTACATGATAAGCGTAAAATTTATTTTCTTTTAATATCCGTTGGACTGAGCTCTTGGTGATATCGAATTCCCTTGCCATATCACGGACGGATAAATGAGGGTATAACTCAACACCGGCTATTACCTCCGCTGTTCGATTGTCTTGCACGGTTCTTTTTATTCTGTGTCTGATGTTGTGATGAGGACGAACTACCCCAAATCGCTTAACTCTACAAGCAAGACGACTGAAGACATGACGACTTTGCTGTGGTCGGTAAGGAAAGCGCTCGGCATACAATCTTTCGGCAGCCCGAAAATTTTGTCTGCATTCCCCCAATAACATCAACATGTCATACGCTTCTTCATTGTTGAAAGGCATGTTGATGTTTAAATAAAATTCTAATTAGTTGTTCAAGATAAATACGAAGAATTGATAACTGCTAGTTTCACAAAGTTGACGTTCTGTCAATAACAATTAAATAATTTTATTTTTTTTTTATAATTTTTAATTTATTAAGTTTTATTATTTAGTGTTTTGTAATATTCTTCTGTGGTAAAAAAAACTCCTTGTTATTTTATTCATTTTGTTAGTAAAAACAATTTCTTGTTATTAACCAGCCATTTCTAAATTACACGATTTTTCAAAACGACGAATAGCGACATCTATTTGTCAACTTAAATAACACCGGTAAAAAGTACCAACAATTAGGGTTGATTATTTCGAAAACGATTAGCAATATAAAA